AGATATGAATGTTTTCTAAATATTAAGGACAACATAACCTAACTCTTTTTTCCATTAGATACTTTTTCAACAACAACCTTTGCATCCTTAGCAATTACCACTTTCATCTGGCCATATATAGAGACTGTTGTTAGCTTCGGAAACTCAAATAATGTCTATCTTACTCTTCGATATATACCTGAGAAAAGGTAGCCACTCCAAATCAACTCGTCTTAAATTTGGAAGATTCACAACGATTCTTGATGCATCAAAACGAGTATTGTTTGTCCCTTTCAAAGCTTCAAACACCCCCTCTACCAAATCACAACTCCTTATATGACTTTTTCCAGGTTTACAGATGGATGGAAAAATAATCCTTTGATCAGATATAACATATATCAATTTGAACAATTGTTCAGAGAAACTATTTGATGAAATGCCTGAAAGAAATCAATGATGTTTTTCAAACATATCCTAATCAACGTGGCCCACATTTAAAAAAAAAAATTATTATGTGACATTTTATTTAATTGCATGGCTTTATTAACCGGTTAAAGCAGGTCCAGTGACTAAATAGTTTGTTCCCACAAAAATAAATAAAATAAAAAGAAAATAAATTAAATTAAATGACTGAATAAATATCTCGCGTCATTTTCCCAATTATTTACTCAAAAAAAAAAAAAAAAAAAATCCAAACGCCGTGTTTTCAGTCGCGGGCACCCCTGATTTTTATTTTTCATTCTATTGAGGCTCTATTAGACATCTTCCGATTCTGCCCTTGTATCTATCGTGAAGACATGAACGCTGAAAAATCAGCCACTTATGAATTGATTTCCCTCCAAATCGGAAAGAAATTAGCAATCTCCATCTCAAAACTCGCATAAAATCATCCATGTACGGCAGCATATCATTCTCTCTGCAGCATAGGGCTTCATTTTGAGCATTCTTAGTACCCGTAATCCCGTTTGAAGGTTTTCTTTCAAGTTACACTCATCAAGGAACGTCATTTAAAGGTTATCATCTCTCTACCTTTAGTTTTTTTTTATCTTAATGTGTTCCATTTAGTGTATTCTTCTTTGTGTGCTATGCTATAATATCATGTAATCGTGGCTGTGTCTGTGTAGTTTTCAATTTTGTGGCATCTTCATAAATTACACACAGATTATAATTAGTGATTATGTAGAGGTTAATGATGATAGCTTTTCGCCTTCCAATCTATTGATAATATGGAATGGAGCACATAACATGTATACCTGCTAATCACACACAAATCCGTAAAAACCCAATACCTTCAGCTCCCTCTGTAGCTTTTATATATAGTATTATATAGTTTAGCCACATTAACTTTCCCCAACTACAATCTTTAATCAAATTCTCTACCTGTAATTGCCACATAACAAAATAAAAGTCAAAAGACTTTGATATGTTTTTTAGTTCAATTAGTATCTCATTATTATGATAAAAACTATAAGTTTTGACTAGATAATGTTGAATATATTGAATTCTATGAATTTTGTGTTGTATGGGTATTTTTGTAATTGTTAAGTATTTTCATTCCATTCATTTCTCTTTTTGTACATAACCAAGAAAAAGGTATAAATTGTTGAATAATTATAAAAACAAGTACATCCAAACTTCCAACTGTCCCAACTAACCATATAAATATTAAATGGAAAATGACCCTCTAAATTTCCACATTTATACTCTTTCCCAGGATTATCAATTATCATCGACTAATCCATACTAGTCTATACAAATATAAATATACATTTTTAAGAATTACTGTTTTGGAAGAAAAACTATTTACTTGATAAAAAACAACAACATACCTAGGAAATTCCATTATAATGGGATAGGAAGGTAGTCGTGTATCCATATAAAAAAAAAAAAAACTACTTTGTCACAATTCACAAAGATGATCTCTTACATAAAATATTTACTTTATGTATCTCATAATTTGTAACTCATCATTAGTGTTTTAATTGCTTAAACTCACATAATCCAAATTAATGTCATCACACAAAATGATACAGCATATTTGTTTTGAATTTGAGTTTGAAAGTGTGAATCTTAACTAGTCAAATAGCCTATTGAAGAGATTTTGGGTGTTAGGTGAAATCATGTATGGAGAAAGAAGATTTGAAGGGCTTTGCATAAGAAAATTATTATTCTCCAATAATTATAGTTTCTGTTGCTGTGCAAAACAGGGCTTAAATTAGGAAAAGAACAATTTTTTATTTCAAAACTAATTTTTGATTTCTGATTTCACAAAAAGGGCAACAACTCAAAACAAATCAAATCCTAAAACATTAACCTCAAAAAATATTAGGAAAAAGGGAAAGCTTCCTGTTGTGACTTGCTTCTATGCAATTTGATACAGGGAAACAACTCAAAACAAATATGACACACAAGAAAAGGGCAACAACTCAAATCAAATCAATTTTTTATTTCAAAACCAATTATTATTCTTCCTGTTGTTTCTATGGAATTTGATACAGGGAAAGCTACAACTTTGTGAACAACAATGGCAAACAAGAAATAAAAGTCTAGCTCTCAAGCATAACCGATTTCAAAAATTATTAAGAAGAAAGGGAAAGCTTCAATTTGATACAGGTAATTAAAATTTCAGATTTATTAGAGCAAATCGGATTCTGATTTTATACATTATACATCAGATTGCATAACATGATAGCATAAGCGATTCTGATTTCAAATAGTATTAACATAACAGGAGAAGATTAGCTTACCCGTTTTTGATGAATTACAGTGATCTTGAATGACAGGGAAAGCGAGAGAAATTGCTCGGAGATGGCGAGTTCTCTTTAGCCGGCGAGATGGTGGCGAGACGGCAGCTAGATGGCGGCTAGATGGCAGCGACGAGTGAGATGGCGGTTAGCTGTCGATGGAGGAGGCGGCGATTTTTGTGTCTGCGCTTTTTTTTTTTAGGTTACGTTTGAAAGAATGGGTATCGGATAACGAGGGAAGAAAGATAACAGAGGGGTAGAAGCGTCCTTATTCCCAGTCAGAGACATTTGGGCCAGACGGCTAACCGACAAAGCATATCATCAAACAGTAAATATCTGACCGAGTCAGCCCATATGTCTACCCAGTCAGACGGGTATCAAACACCCCCTTAATTGGTTAGATTAAGACATGCTTCTTTTTAAGACGTATTAAGTGGTAAACAAACAGTCCCTAAGCTTATTCTTTCCAAAAACACGCAAATAAGTTTAAAAATTAAATGGGCAAATGTAAAATACATAATAGGATCGTTGCATCATTTTCCCTAAATTATAATACTAAAAAAACATGTTCAGTACCAATGTTTTAAAAACCGGTTTTTTAGTTGAACCGGTATGGCGACCGATTCGACCGCCGGGTCAACCGGTTTCTATAATTTTTATCATTTTTCTACACATACATATATACATACATTAAAACATGAATTTGACGTCTACAAGTTCAAACATTAAAAATATGCATAAAAATAAGTTGTAGATCAATCTAAATATATTAAAACAACACATAACTATAAGTTTTACATCAATTCGCATACGTCAAAAAGAAAATAAAATATAATACCGAAGCAAAATATAGTTTTAGATTAATACAAGTGCATAAAAAAACATCATATCATTTACCATATGTTTTTATTGAGAAAAATCTAAATAAATGTGAAAAAAACCCACCAAAGTTTATTATTGAAAATGATTTATTTCCATGTATTTTGAAAAAACCGGTCGGTTCAATCCTGTTCAAAAATTGGTATAAAACCAGTGATAGTTGAATCGTTCCCTTCCCTGGTTCCCGGTAGGGATGAGCATCGGAACCGGGTACCCGCTTTTGGAACCGGAACTGCCTTAAACGGTTCCGGTTCCGGTTCTCGTTTTTTTGGAACTGCTACCCGCTGGGTACCCGCCGGAACCGGTTAATATATATATATATATATATATATATATATATATATATATATGTGTGTGTGTGTGTGTGTGTGTTACTCAAACCAGTTTAGAATATATATTGGTCCGGTTTTGTCCGTCTTTGGTCCGAATTGACTTGATTTGAATAGAACTAAATTGCGGTTTTATCGACAAAAGTTAACAAAATTAATGTAACCAGGTTACCCGCTCCCGGAACCGGAACCGCCGGTTCCGGGACTGGTTCCAAACATTTAAGAACTGTCTAGAGCGGTTCCGGTTCCGGTTCTAACTTTCTAGGAACCGCCGGTTCCGGGACTGGTTCCAAACATTTAAGAACTGTCTAGAGCGGTTCCGGTTCTGATTCTAACTTTTTAGGAACCGCCGGTTCCGGTTCCGGTTCCGGTTCTCGCCAAATGAGGCGGGTACCCGCCTATGCTCATCCCTAGTTCCCGGTCTAATCGGTTCGACCGGTCAGTTCAAACCGGTTTTTACAACACTCTTCGGTACTTATCCTTTTAGATTAATTATTGTTTACTTAAAATTTGCAAATTTAATTCCCTCCGTTATAATAAAAAAATAGAATAAAACTATTTTGGAGGGGTAATTTGACTAAATTCCATTGTTCGAGTCCAAGCCCACAATAATAAGAATTTGTCATGAAGTGGACACGACTATTGGGCCTGAGTCGTGTTATTAATTCGTTCACCCTTCAGACTTATTTATTGGGCTATGGGATGATGTCCAAAGGTAGTATCCCCAACATATATTGTAATAAACAATAAAGTTTAAATAAAAGATGAACATGTTGCTGCATCATTGTTGTTTTTTTCTTTTGCAAGTTTTGAACAGATCCCAATTACGATTTTAGGTGTGACATTAGAGTGTTTTAATATGGTTGTAGATATGAAAATGTGAAAGTTCAAATCTATGCACAATTTGTAATGTGACTTTAACCCATCAAAAAATACACAGATTTTAGCTGAATTCCACATGGATGATTTTAGTGATTTAGATAGGATGTATATTGCGCATGAAAATCTTTGGCACATCTTTTATATGCGATTAAATGGAAAAATTCTTACTTTAATGAAATATCCGAACTTTGTAGTAAAAATAGAGGACTTATTAACATTTTTGAATAAAAATGTAACAAATTGAATTGTTTATACATAGTGCCAAGATATGAATATAAATTACAAATCTACTCCATTTCAAAACATATTACAATTATCATATAATCGATTACAAGTTGCTAGTATGTATGTGTGTGTGTGTTTTCCTAAAAAGTAAAAACTACAAACAATCATGAGGAGTCAACCCACTTCTAAAGTGGTTGCAGTTTCAGGAACTGTAGAATCAGTGAGTTCTCTTCCGCTTGTCTCAAAGGGGAAAAGCATGACACAAACACCCGAAGAAAAAATAACAAATTCAAAGAGGAGGATGGCGGCGGTTTGATGGCAGCCATGTATCAAACCCACCGCCACCAGCGGACATATCATGCCGCCAATTCGCCCCACCGAGCTGCCCACCCTAACACCCGTTGTTCTCACTGATGTCGGATATATCTATATATAATAATATAATAATAGTAAGAAATAAAAGCAGAATTGTATGATAAATAAAAGCAAAGTTGAAGGACTTGCCTCAGGGGCAAAAATGTAAACCACAGTGAAGGTTGTTGTGATGCATATTCGAGCCATAAAGAGAAGAACCGTTGTGAGAGCTTGAGGTTGTTGGAAAGTCAATGGGAGCAAGAAAATGCAACAAAGGAAGAACATTGTTGACATGGAGCGCTTTCGACCCAATTTATCGATTGTAAAAGCTGATATAATAAGTCCCGGGAACTCTTGAACCAAATTAAAGGTAAATCTACTCAGCCAGATTATCTTCCACAGATGAACAATGTAATGTATTAAACTATGAAAATATGTCTTTTTTTTTATATATTAAAGAAAAACAAAGGCGTTGTTTAGAAAATATTTGAGAAAATCAAGGCAATTAAGAGGAAAGTCTTCTTTCATAGTCTTTCTCCATTAAGTCGAGAAAAAGAGGCATTCTCATTAAGTCCTAACTTTTTACATATTTGCCCTCATTTATTTTTTCGTTCTATTTTCTCAAAGGGATAATGACATAAAAGTCATTAAGTTTGGTAGAAATGTACGAAATTTCCCTTTTGTGGATTTTAGGTTCATTAAAGCACTTACGTTTGGCAAGAATGTTCGGTTTTACCAGGTAAATTAGCAAAAAGGGTAAAATCGGAAAGAAAAAAAAAAGTTGCAAGTATCCGGTATTAGTGAACCTAAAATCCATTAAAGGGTAAATGCGCATATTTCTGCCAAACTTAAGGGCTTTTATGTCATCCCTTTCTAAAATGCTACCAAACATTATTTATCCAAAAACGGGACCCACACATGCATATACAAAGCATACCTGCAAAACTAGTGATGAAGACATCTTTGTAGCTAACCTCCTCCGAGCCTTGAGATCGTGATCCATTTGGTCCACAATTATTCGCACCATTATGCAACTCGGTTGTAAGAAGCACAAGCCCATAATAAGAAAAAGCATTCCCAAAGAAAACCACCCATAAAAGCAAAGTCGGCTTTATCAATTCCGGTGAAAACAACATTGCCAATGTTGACACATTACTTTTACTATGATTGATAACTTCCGGTTTTTCATCATCCGTGTGCTTATTATTATTACTCTGAGGGAGCAAGCGTGCACCTTCTGATTCCATTGACTTGACATTCAACTCGATTTCATTGTCGGAAACAAGGATTCCGGAGGAAGTGATTTCCCGTTTATCTTGGCAACTTTTTCCAAGATTCGAAGGGCTTCACTTGTTCTTCCTTTTAAGCATAAATATCGCGGTGATTCCGGGACTACATGGTAGAATACAAGGAGGAGAGATGAAGGCAGAGATGAGAATGCAAGTAATCATCTCCATCCCAATGTTGGCATCACAAACTACAAAAAAGAAAATTTAAAAATATATTACGAAAGTAAATATAGAAAATATATCAAGAGATGGGAGGGGCATTTTTGTCTTTTACACAAACGAGAGATCAAGAGCGAGTCCCCGTCCCACCTTTTTTGGGTGGGAAAAAAAAATTAATTTTTGTCCCCTTGACATCAGTCCTAGTCCCAATGCAACTGCAAGTCAAACACAGTACAACTGTTTCTGTCCTGTTCTACATAAAAAAACAAAACGGGCCCAAAAATGGCCCATTTTGTATGACAAGACAAAGCAGAACAGGACAATTTTGTACTGCATTTGACATTCATTGGACTATGACTAGGATTGATGTCAAGTGAACAAAAATTTAAATTTTGTCCCACCCAAAAAAGACTGGCTCTGGATCTCTTGTCTGTGCAAAAGACAAAAATGCCCTTTGTCATCCTCATTGTCAAAAGGTATAGTTATAATGAAAGGAAAGGAAGCATATATATACCCATGCAACAGAAGCCTCGAAAACAGTTCCAATAGTCCAAAAAGCTGAAAAGAAAACCATCCAAGTGCCTCTGCTTGGAGCAGGGATGAACTCTAGAAACCAAGAAGAGAGGACGGGCCCACCTCCAAGACCAATTCCAACAAGACAGCGAAGAATGATGAGACATGCGTAGTTAGGAGCTAAAGCACTAAGCATACCAGCCACAGAAGTAACCATTGCAGTAAAGAAATCCTTTCCTATAATATTTAAAAAAAAAAAAAAAAAACAATAAAACAATAAAACTACAACTACAAATCATTTTTTTTTTGAAACATTTAAAAAAAATGGAAAACTATACCTCCTTCCATGTTTATCTGCAACAACACCCCATGAATATGCTCCAACCAACATGCCAGCAAAGACAACACTAGTAATCATGCTTTGTTCATGAGAGGAAAGATTCCATGCAGACTGAAGTGCGGGTCCCACAAACGAAAGAAGCATCATTTCCATGGCTTCTGAAATCCAACCCATCCCTGCATACGCAAGCACAAGCATTTGGAACTTCCCAAATCCTACGCTTGCAAGTGCATCATCCACCGTGTAGCTTCGGCTCTCGTCTCCCATCTTTGCAAACAATTTAATTCCATAACTTAGCTACAATATATATATATATATATATATATATATATATATATATATATATATATATATACACACTTGAAAATATCTATCCAGTTATAGCATTGAAAATTGCTTTGTATTTAGATAACAACATAACATTGCTATAACTGGATACATTTTTCAAAGTACATCACAGAAATAGAAAGAAATGAAAGTAGAATGTTGTAATAAACAAATGAATGAAAGTACATTGCTATTTCTTGCATTGATCCCTAATAACTACATAATATACCATTTTAGCGCTTGGACTTTGACTCCTTTTTTGGGTTAGTGAGGAGAAACTTATATTCTTTCTCATAATGGAAACCGGAAGTACTTTTTATCCAAAGATATGGGAACATTGGCTAGCCGAGGCCCAATTAGGCGCATTTAGAGAATCACAAGCTTTTTACCTTCTGGTTGACCCATCAAAGCATGCAACAATGCCAAATTCAACATTTTAGTATCCAACTTGTAACTTCACAAAATGATCGGAAAGTAATAAAAATTAACTACTTTTATATTGTTATTTTTCCCAAGTTTTTAACCACTACCATAACAACTTTTTATTTTATTTTGTTTTCTTACACTACAATAATGTTCTTCATGGAATGCAAATGCATGCTTCCATGTAGGTTTGTTCATGTCTATTATTACCACATTAAAACAAAAAATATCCCTTGTATTTTTTATATTTGTTTATGAATATGTCAACAGGTTTAGAATGTAAATAATGAGAAATGACATAACCACCCTTCATTGACTTTTTTGTAGATTATTGTTTGTGTTATATGCTCCACATGCTTTAAAGAGGAGACAACTAGTTATCAATTTTTGGTGTTAGGAAAGTTATTTCAGCCATTTACACAAATGAGGGAGGAATGGAATAAATTTCATGACTTTATGGAGGGAAAGTTGAATTCCTTAACTAATGGAATTCAATTCCTTAAGCATTTGCAACCAATTCCAGCCAAATCCCAAGGAATCTGGCAAACCAAACTCCCCATAATGTAGTTTTCATATCAGAGCATTATTTGTTCATAAGTTACAAAATAAAATTCGAGGGCGCTGACCTAAATGCACAGGGTTAGTTTTTATTTTATTTTTAAGCATACATTTCAAGAATGGTGAAATAATTTTCTGAAATCGATGATCGCTTTCATAGGGAATGTAAGTAGCAATTTGGAATAAGGTCAACCATCATACTTTAAACAGGAAAGATCCATCAATACAGATTCAGGTGAAATTATAAAAAGGCATATCGGAAACCGTATGTAAATGAATTGGCTTCCAACCAATGATCCAAAAAAACTGGAAAATAAAACCCAAATTTGAAACGGGTTAAGAGTTGTTGCAATAAGTCCCAGGAAAATTAAATCTAGAATGACGTACAGTATGGATAATCAAGATAGAGATATGATACGTTGATAAAAGGGTTGCAAAAGAATCGAACCTTAAAGAGCAGGAGGATAACGGAAGAAATCAACGAAGAAGCAGGAGAAAATGTAGATGAATCTCGGATGTGTTTTGACTTTGACAAGCCTCCATGAGTTTGAGAAAATTATGCGACCATCTATATGACAGAAATGGAAAACCTAACTTTTATTTATGTTTCTCATTGGTGAATGGCAACAAGACCGTGTGAAGTTTACACGTTGAATGCAATAAACAGTCAGCAAACATCGTTATTATAGAATTTTTTTTTTTTTTATACTTTCGTATATCTTTCTAATTAAAATTTAAAATATGTATTTGTCAAACCTAAAATCTAAATATTATATGTTTTTTTTTTCTTTTAAAATATCGTATTTACCTATTATTTTTTAAATATATTTTTTAAGTTTTTTGATGGATTTTTATATTTTATAATCATATTAATATATATAAAACAAATTCACCAAATTGTCCTTCAATATTAAAACCAATACATGAGATTGAACTCCCCAAAAAGCTATCTATCCCGTTTGCCCTAGCTATCTAAGTCAAACCCTGATCACGTAGATGGAGATCGACTCCTGAATACCAAAAAAATCTTTTACCTATCAAAATGTTAACAATCCAATCGATACCCACAAGACTATTTTCACATAATTCGACTTCTTTTGTAACACCCAACCAATCAGGTAATTTCCTTTCTTGTTTCAAATTACCAATTATTGCAAAAAAATGGTCCTTACGCCCTGCATACTCGGGGCGTACGTTAGGCGTAAGCTTTAAAAAGGACGCGGATGTTTAAGAGTATGCATGGCGTACTCAATGGAGACGCAAGGCGTACTCGGCAGATATGCAAACCCTAATATTGAGGATTTGAACCATATTTAAGCAACCTTAACTCCCATAAACCCTAACACCTTCAGCCTCCATCCCCCCAAACGACCCCTTGCAGACCCTAATTTTCATGAGAGTTTTTGAGTTATTTGAGTGTTTTATGTCCAACCTTGAAGGAAGAAGATCATTGGAGTGCACTTGGAAAGCTTCAAGCATTGTAGATTTGGGAATTTCACCTCTCAAGCAACCTCCAAAAGGTATATAATTCTAAACTTGATGAGTGTTTCACTAGATCTTGTTAGTTAAGTTGTGTGCATTTTGATCCCATATTCTTGGCATAGTTGAGTATGAGCTACTCCATACCTAATGAGTAGCCTTTTCAAATGTTTTTGAAGTGCATGGAGTCATAAAAAATGTGATATTGATCCTTTCCTTTCATCCATTCATGAGTATTGAGGCTTAGAATCTTATGATATGTTAAGGTTTTTAGATTTGGACACTTTCTAGTCATGCAAAGTTATAAAGTTGGAAACTTTATGATTTAAGAGGTTATTTAGGGTTAGATTTGAGATTTGGATGTAAGGACTTAAAGGAATAAGCACTTAATGAGGAAAGTGGGTGTTGGTTGAGTATGCAAGGCGTACCTAGTGATACACAGTGTGTAATAACCAGGGCCTCGTAATCTAGAAAGGGATTCGCAACGCCATGTGTGGTAATAGAGTATGCAGGGCGTACTCCGCGTGTGTTGACTCTTTGATTTTTTTACTTTGACCTTTAACCATAGACTTGACCAAGTTTGACTTAAGGGAATTTTGGGAAATTCAAAAATAGTAGAGATTGGGTCCCTGTTATTTGTATAGGTGATCTATAGAGGCAGTATTTGGAGCGGTGATCTGTTCAACTATTTTTCAGATTGTGGGGTGAGTTTTCCTCATTGTACTTAGGGGTGTAAACGAGTCGAGTCGAACCGAGTATTGCCAAGCTCGAATCTCGACTCACTTAAGATACTCGACTCGAACTCGCCTCGAGCTTAAATCTGAAGCTCAAACTCGACTCGTGAAATACTCGATACTATCGAGCTCGGCTCGCGAGCTCGGTTCAACTTGACTAAAATTAAAAAATAAAAAATAAAAAATAAAAAAAGGTGAAAATCATCAAAAATTAAAAACATTCCATATGCTTTTACATTGTCCAAAATAGCAAAAATGCACAATAAACCATCTATGTCTTTGCATTTTACATATATCCAAAATACCAAAAAGAAACATCTATGTCTTTGCATTTTAAAAATATCCAAAATACCAAAAAGAAACATCTAATGTCAATATATCATCAAGCATCTATGTATTTGCATTTTACCAATTCAGCACCAACACAATCTCTTGTACCTATCAAAATAACAACAATAACCAAAAAATACAACATAAATAACCAAAAAAAACAGCAAACTAACCTAAACAGCAACATCAAAAATCAGCACCAAAAAACAGCAACAGTGGCAAAAAAAACAGCAACAGCAGCACCAAAAAAGCAGCAACAATGGCAAAAAAACAGCAACAACAGCAAAAAAACAACTTAACCTGAAAACAACAAAAATTAGCTAAAATTTACAGTTTTAAACATTTTAAATATGCTTACTTCTCATGTATCTGTCATGGAATAGGAAGATTGATCTCCATTTGTTGTTTCTCTTTCTGAAACGCATAAACACGAGAACAATAAATATATTAAATTATAAAATATAAATAAAAAGTAATGAGAAACAAATGAATCATACCTTGTTCTTTCTTTTCAAACCATGGAGGCTTCGACACCAATCTCCTCCACAAAGTAAGACTTCAACCGTTTCGGGAGCCAATGATGCTCTATATGTGTCAATAACTCTACTACCCGCACTAAAAGTAGCTTCCGATGCAACAGTGGTGATGGGAATAGAAAGTATATCTCGAGCCATGCGTGATAATATACGATATTTTAACGAATTTGATCGCCACCATTGTAAAGCATCAAACGGTGTTGGGCCAGCATCACAAATGTAACAACCCTCTTCAAGATAATTATCTAAATCTGATTTTTGTGGTTGTATATTTTCAACTGTTCTTACAAACTGAGCAAACTCGGACCATCCGGAAGATGAGGGTTGAATGTTCACATTGTTTCCACTTAAACCAACAACAGTTTCACAATTTCCTTCACCGCCACTAGAACAATATTCATCCACATATTCTCCATACAATTCATATAAAGCTTTTTTAACTTTGTCTATATTTTCACAAGCTTCCTGTTCGGGATACATCCTAGGAAAACAAAACTCAATAACCCTCATTTTGCACCTAGGGTCTAAAATAGCACCAATCAACATCATCAAGTTGCACTCTCCCCAATACTTATCAAAATTTTGTTTCATGCACCGAACCATGTCATGAACAAAATAATATTCGTTAGGATCTTGAAGCTTCTTGTCCAACAAAACTTTGATTCTATAAACTTCATTAAGAAATAGGTTTGAAGTTGGATACTCACTACCAGAGATAATATTAGTTGCAGAGTAAAAAACTTCTAAAATCTCACATACCTTTTCCACATTTATCCAATCTTCATTTGTGGGACAACTAATGTAGCGTGGCTCTCTTTCTTTGTACATTGGAAATACCTCTTTAAATTTGATTGCAGCGGACAACATTTCATATGTTGAGTTCCACCTTGTCTTGCATTCAAGAATAAGTTTTCTATGTGGCAATTGTAATTGTTGCACAATCTCAGAAAACAAGTTGAGTCTTGACTCATTTTGATTGATAAATGTGACAGAGTCGTGTATATCCTCAATGATATGGCCAATTCTAGAAAGTCCATCTTTAACCATAAGATTCAAGATGTGTGCACAACAACGTACATGAAACATCTTTCCTCCACAAGGCAACTTCTTAACCCTTGAAAAAGTTTCACTTAAGATCCTAACAGTCGAGTCATTATTTGAGGCATTGTCAACCGAAATAGTAAACACCTTATTCTCAATGCACCAATCCTTCAAACACTTATAAAGATTGTCGGCAATCTCAAGCCCACGATGAGGAGGAGGTAAGTGAATAAAGCTAAGAACACGCTTTTGTAAATGCCAATTAGAATCGACAAAATGGCCTGTAAGAACCATATTAGAACACGCTTTTTACTAATGGTTGATTATCAGGGAAAATTGCAGTAAATAGTAACATATTATTATTTCTTTTCTAAACACCATTAAAATAACCAAATTAAGTGCTATCTAGATAAAGTGTTTTCCTTATGTTTATATTTGAAAAGATTCTAAAGGGGGAAAACTTTGATAAAGGTATAACTGAATTTGAAACAAGATGGATCGGATGGGCTGGAGTAAATGTAACTGATGAAATCGGGAAGAAATCACTCACCAAAGCTTTAGCTGACAAGGTTGACTGTATGTATATTTATTTATAAAGGGTTAAAAAAAAAACAACCTTCATAGCATCCTACTCTCATTTCTTTCTATTATAGATTGTGTATATATAAACGGTTAAATGAAGAAAATCGCAACGTTTATAGCATCCTACTTTTGTGAGTAGATTTTTAAAAATCCAATGCCTTAATAAGAAGAAAAAAAAACCAAAAGTACAATGATATAAAAAATACAATGCGTTTTTATAAGAGAAAAACTAAATTAGAATGTTGTAATAGAAAGAAATGGAAGTATGATGCTATAACACGCAAATAAATTAAAGCACGTTGCTATTCTTCCATTTATTCATGTTTAAAGAAGATGTGTTAATATTTTGAAGAAAAAAAAACAAGGTTGTTACTCTAGCAATTGTTGGTATGCAGAGGTGTGTCCCGGTTTTTCTTGACGAAGATCTTGTTAATCTGTATTACAACGGATATTGTAATAATATCTTATGGCCTCTCTTCCATTACCTTGGTCTCCCACAAGAGGATCATCTTGCTACTACTCGTAGTTTTCAATCTCAATTTGATGCTTACAAGAAAGCTAATCAGTTGTTTGTTGATGTGGTGAGTGAGCATTATATAGAAGGGGATGTCATTTGGTGTCATGATTACCATTTGATGTTTCTACCTAAATATTTGAAAGAACGTAATAATAAGATGAAAGTTGGTTGGTTTCTACACACACCGTTTCCTTCCTCCGAGATTCAGAGAACACTCCCTTCCCGATCTGAGCTGCTACGAGCCGTTCTTGTAGCCGATCTTGTTGGGTAAAGGCTTACATTCTAAAATTTGTTCCGTAAAAATATTAGCCCCTTTCAGCCTCAATCACTACTTTCATCCCTAAGGCTATGTTTGTTACACTATGTCCTAGACAGTCTGGCGGGAAGACGACTCAGAACAGACAGTCTGCCTTTTGGGCAGACTATCTGGCTTGGGCAAAAAGTCTGCCCTGTCCCGTGTCCTGTCCTAGACAGATGGGCAGACTGTCTGTCTGTCCCGTCCTGGAGTCTATCTTGGATGGGACACACGTTTGTTTTGGACGGGACAGACAGTGTATGGACAAATTGTCAGTCCTATGCCTAACGGAGATAGTATTGATGCTAACATGTGCTATATATATGTCAGCTTCCACACTTATGATTATGCAAGGCACTTTGTGAGTGCATGTACTCGAATTCTTGGCCTTGAGGGTACTCCTGATGGAGTGGAGGATCAAGGGAAACTTACTCGTGTTGCTGCGGTAAATTACTTGATCATCTTTCGTTTATATATATATATATATATATATATATATATATATATATATATATATATATATATATATATATATATATTCAGTTATGTATATTTTGTTATGTTTTATGAGCACAAAACTTAGAATCTTGAAGCAGCTACTGATTCAGATTCATATATTGGGTTTTGAAAGCACAGTTTCCTATTGGGATAGATCCTGGTAGGTTTATACGAGCAATTCAACTTCCTCAAATCAAAGAACATATAAAAGAATTGGAGGAGAGATTTGCTGGTCGAAAGGTAAATCATAATCTACCTGTGTATGCACTACCAAAACAAATCTTTTTCAAGGGATGCAATACAATATGGAATTTTCAAATTTTCAATAATTTGTTACAGTACAAAAAAACTAAAAGTTTCTTTTCAGGGTATGCACATGCATATCTTGGCATTTCTCATTGGTTTTTTTTTTTATATGAAGGTAATGTTAGGAGTCGATCGCCTTGACATGATTAAGGGAATTCCACAAAAGATTTTGGCATTTGAAAAATTCTTGGAAGAAAATCCGGATTGGCATGACAAAGTGGTGTTGCTTCAGATTGCAGTGCCAACAAGAACAGATGTTCCCGAGTGTATGCTTTCAATCATTTTAAGGGTTAAATGCAAGAAATAACAACATACTTTTGTTTATTTGTTTATTTATTATTTATAGGATCTTACTTTTATTTTATCCTATTACAACATTGTAATTTGAAATAGCTACCCAGTTAAAATGCTAAAATTGGCTAGGATTTTTAAAGTACAATGCCTTAATAATAAAAAGATTGAAATTATATTATTCTACTAGAAAGAAATGAAAGTAGGATGCTATGATACACAAATAAATAAAAGTATGTTGCTATTTCTTTTTTCCTTTATGATTAATGGATCAATTATCGAAGCATGAAACTCGTGTCATTTCTATTTTTGTTCTTTGTGGATTAACAGATCAAAAGCTCACATGTCAAGTTCATGAAATTGTTGGAAGAATTAATGGAAGATTTGGGAGCCTTACAACTGTCCCTATTCATCATTTGGTTTGTCTTTTCTTTTAATTGAAAAACATCTTGTTGAATCTTGAGTTAAAACACAAGATATTGATTCAATGTATAATGGTTGATTATTATATTATCAAGAAATATCTTAAAACTTGAATAATTTGTATTCGATCCCCCCTCCCCCCTACAAATACTGTTATACCTTTGGGACCAATACTAATAAGAGTACACTCATGCAAATGGGAGAAAAAGGTTAATTAAACTACAAAATACAAGATGATGATTGTGTGAAAGATTCTTCTCTTCTTGTAGATGCATCAATAGAATAATATCCCATGATTTTTTAGCCTTGAAATCTGTGATTCCTTTTCTTTATACAGGATCGCTCTCTTGACTTTCATGGATTATGTGCATTATACGCCATTACGGGTATGCTTTAACCCCTACCAAATCATGTGTTATGCTGTTTGAATGCAAGAAATAACGTACTTTTATTTATTTGTCTATTATAACATCTCACTTTCATTTCTTTCTATTACAACATTGTATTTCCTTTTTTTTTTTCTTATTAACATATTCTACTTTGAAAAGATACCCAATTATAGCTTTATACTTTCAATTTTTTTGAAATGGAAGTAGGATACTATAGCACATAAATAATTGAAAGTAGTTTGCTCTTTCTTGCATTTTAACCCTATGTTATGCACTTGTACTTTACTCATAGATGCTAAACTATGCTTCTTTCTCCCTTTAAAAATCTCAATTAACAAGTCTTTTTTGCTACCTAACACAATCATATTTTCTCGAATTGGTGGATAAAGTGATATACAATTTTTTTTTACATAGATGTGGCTCTTATTACATCATTAAGGGATGGAATGAATCTTGTAAGTTATGAATTTGTAGCTTGTCAAGCTTCAAAGAAAGGTGTTCTAATCTTAAGTGAGGTATTTATTCCTAATTATTATTCAATCACTACAAAAAGATAGTCAAGTGGGTAAATTGAAAAAAAAAATTGGTAAAAGTACATTGTTAGTTTTCTTTTCTCTATTTTTCCAAAAAAAAAAGTAAGTGCATAGTTATTAAACATTACAATTTTCATGGAATGGATGAAGTAGTAATTTGTATGTTTCATACACATAGTTTGCAGGAGCAGCACAATCTCTAGGTGCAGGGGCAATTTTGGTAAATCCATGGAACATTACAGAAGTAGCTTCTTCAATTGGTTATGCTCTAAATATGCCTGCTGAGGAAAGGGAAAAAAGACACCACCATAACTTTGTCCATGTCACTAGTCATACATCCCAAGAATGGGCTGAAACATTTGTTAGGTATGCATCTTATTTGTTTACCAAATATTATCAATTCACTTTATTTTTTTATCAATTAAATAAATGTAAATGTAAGCATGTGGTTTATTTATTGTCTTGATGTGTAGTGAATTGAATGATACAATTGTGGAAGCTCAATTGAGGATTAGACAAATTCCACCTCTACTTGAAACAAATGAAGCAGTTGACCGATATTTGGATTCGAACAACCGTTTACTCATTTTGGTATTCTCTCCCTTTAAATTAAATACAAAAATAAAAACAAAATGTTGTTCTAAAATTAGTTTGTATACTTTCAACTTCATAGGGGTTTAATTCAACACTGACTGAACCTATGGATACGGGTAGACAATTCGATCAATTCAAAGAAATGGAACCCAGACTACACCCTGAAGCAAAAGAAGCTTTAAAGAGACTTTGTGATGATCCAAAGACTACAGTAGTCATCTTAAGTGGAAGCCATCATTCTGTCCTTGATAAGGTATTAAATGTAGACCTGGCAATTTCAGACACGAAGACACGAATCTGTGAGAGACACGACACGACACGAATACATCTTAAAAATTGAGATAAAGCTTATTTCTCATTGTGTAATCATATCGTGTCAAATTTGTGGCTGACACGTTTTCATGACACGAATACACGAATTGCCAGGTATAATTAAATGTAAGAAATAGGCATCTCATATCATTAGCAAATAAAATGTTGGTGTTTTATTTGATGAATATGCAGAACTTTGGAGAATTAAACATATGGTTAGCTGCTGAACATGGAGTATTTTTAAGAACACCCAATAAAAAATGGACAAGAAACATGCCTCAAGTACACATGGATTGGGTTGATAGTGTCAAGGTCAGTCCATTCAGCCAACATTTCCCCTTTTCGATATCATCATGAGCATGTGCCACAAACCCTAAACACTTTTGTCTAAAATTTAAACTGTTTATAAATATTTAGTGTGTGTTGAATATGATTATACAATTACAATAATAATCGATTGAAATCATATCCTTGGGAGACTTTATGATATGTTGATTTCAGCACGTGTTTGAGTATTTCACCGAGAGAACTCCTCGATCTCAGTTTGAGCTTTG